TTTTGCCAAACACCACTAATGCATGCTGTCCTACCAGCTCGACTCAGAGGGCTTAGCTGTTTCACTAAGCGATTCACACAATTCAACTGCTCTTTCCTAATACAAAAACTCGCATCTTCTCACACCCTCGTAAATAAAGCGCATTTTCTTCGCCTTCTTGAGACATGCAAGAAAGTTCACATCAATTTCAAAGGTCCCCTATCCATGCTCTGCCGCCTGCTCATGTCCATCCTGATTGTCGCTGAGTGCGTCCAGGTATTCATTGCGTGGAATCGGTTTTGCTGACCCTGTCAACGCATTGCATGGCGTGTAGAACTCACTCAACGAAGGAACAAGGCCACAAGCTCCAAACACCTAACCTACACTCTGAGAAATAATGACAACCAAACAACGACTCAGCCCCAACATCCTTCAGCCTATCCGAATGTATCCTTGTAACTTCTCTTGAATATAGCAAACAAGAGATTAATAAAGCTGCATAACTTAATTATTAAGAGTAGCATTGATATGACGAGTTTGTCAGCGTCCAGTTAATCTGCAAGTTGAAAGTAATTCACTTTGGCAAATGCGTTTGCAACACCACCTAGCCGGACTCCTAAGTACTGCTCAAAAAGGGCCATTCAGTCCATCATTGTAGATGGTGAGCTTTGCGTGAACCAACATGCAAAGTGGTTGGTTCATGCGTAGACAGCTTACTATCCCACACACCAATCATCTCGCTTACTGTTAAACTCGCTGACTTACCATCTACTTAACGACTGGCTATCCTGCAAATTACACCATCCACTGATATGACCAGTATGGATGGCGAATCCAGTGACCTGGGAAGCAGTCACACTCAACAGACAGTTGGAGACTTGGCAAACTAATCGTGAAATGCATAATAGCCAGTCGTTCTGCCTGTCCACCTGTTGACGAGCCAACCAACCAGCCAGATAGCTTGCATCCCGGTAAACTCAAATATCACCCAATTCGCTCCCCACCTACTACCCAAGCATCAACCAGAGAGGTG